TCATCTCCAAATACCTTTATATTGGGCTAAATGGAGTGAAAGAGCTAGCTTTATACCTTGGAATTCTGAAAGCCCACACTACTTAGAGATGTGGATAAAAAACAGCAAAGTGAAAATCAATTCCTCTAGCCCTAGTAGGACTTCCTGAAGGGTCTATGTCATGATAGAAGAGACTCAATGGGAAATTAGAGGCATAAAATCACCTGGTAGAGAATTCAGCCATCTAGTACTACCATTGTTTACATTGGGATTCTGAGAACAACAGGGCCAAGGGCACCTCTGTCACCTAGCTTGCATTGGCCTCTACATCCAATAAAGCAAGCATAGGATTTCCATAAAGATAATTTCTATGCTTCATTGCACAGGGAATTTGGCAGAGGCAGTGATAAAATGTGTTAGGAGTAGCCTCCTAATGTCTTGCATAATTTTTTTCTGTGCCATAGAAATGCATTTATTGAGTCACACTGGGCACAAAGCACTTTGGGGATTAAAAGTTGAATACACTAGGCCAGATCTTCCATGCCTTTATAATCTCTTGGGAAAAATTAAGAACACAAACAAATCACAAAGAAAGTACCAAAAGAAAGGGGAAAATCAAGTCTCCCATTCTGGAAAATTCAAGAGAGATTACTTCTAACTGAGGCAGGAAATAAGCTTCAAATAGAAGGCAGCTTTTGAATCAGGTCTTGGGACACTGGANGATTCCTTCTAACTGAGGCAGGAAATAAGCTTCAAATAGAAGGCAGCTTTTGAATCAGGTCTTGGGACACTGGAGTGGGAGTAACGGATGAGAGAAGGGAGAAAAAAAATTTTAAAGCAAGCAGGGACAGGTATATATCAAGTGCTTAGTGCCAAAAATGAGTACAAATAATAAGTGCTTGGAGTTTAGAGAAAAATGAGATTCTTCTGGCCTGGGCTTGGATATAGCTTTTTATCAAAGAAGAGGCTTAGGGGAGGGGCTTCAGATTGGTGGAAAAGAAAGCTGAGTAGAAAAAAGTGGTAAGATATAGGAATGATCAATGTATAAAAGGGTCAGAAAATAGTCGGGTCTGCCAGAGTGAAGGAGTAATGTAGACTGGAGAGGAAAGTTGAAGCCTCTCAGTTAAGCTCAAAAGCCAGCCTAAAGCATTTGATCTCCATGAAAAATCAGTTTTCTGTGTAAGACAATTCTCCTAACTCAGTTGCTCTTAAAGCATGCTCCCAGTATTATCAGCAGCAGCGGCCCTGAAGGACCCATTAGAAATGTGAATTCTAGCCCTGGCCAGTGTTTGGGTTGGACATTGTCCCATTTACTGAAAGGTTGCTGGGCACATGCCCATGCCGCAGGCATCGGTAGGGGGTGTAGGGGAGGCAGCCCGATCGATGTTTCACTCTCACATTGATGTTTCTCTCTCACATCGATGTTTCTCTCTCTCTCTCTCCCCCTCTCCCTTCCTCTCTCTAAAAAAAACAATAAAAAAAATATTTAAATAAAAAGAAATGTGAATGCTAGGGCCTGAACCCAAATCTGTGGAATCAGCAACCCAGAAATCTGTGTTTAATAAGCCCTCCAGGCTTGTGACTTATGTGATTATAATTCTTAAGGGAATAAATAAGTTTTTTAAAAGATAACTTAGTTCTATCTCCTCTTGCTGCTGTTTTACTGAATAAATCTATGGAGAAAGAAATAATTCTCTTGAATCAAGTAGATTTGTGGGTTAAATTAAGGAGGAAATTATACAGTTTGCATTCCTTCAATCTTTGCCTATAGTTCCATTTTTTGAGCAAGGAGTCTGTAAAGTGGACCATTGATTTCAATTGATTCAAATTCTAAGTTCATGAAACTTTAGGAGATCGGTTTCAAAAAATTCTCGGCAATTTCTGCTCCTTTGTTATCTGGGATATCTTCTGAAGGTAAATGGACCTTCAAATGTGCATAAATTCACCTGGATTGTTAAAAGATACGACACTACAAGGTTGCTTAGTATTTATCCCCTATAGTAATTTTATTAAAGTAACACATACATCTCTATTTTTGTATATACAAAAATACTCTGGCCCTATTTATTATTTTTATCTTTATAATACAGTGCTCTGATGTACCTGTCTGCTTGTCCTAAAGTTCTCTATTTACTCTTACTTTTTAAAAAATCAATCCACTGAAAGGAAATTTAGGTAGAATTTGGTTTGATTGGGGAATCAGGATTCTTGGCCTGAGGTGTCTAATGATCTGAATCAAATGGACTTACACTGAGTGGACTAGTTCTTGATTTGGTAAAATTCAACAGACATTTATTTAGCTAGATGCTTTCAGAGATACTAAGATGTACTAAACATTGGCTACTGGTAAAAGGGGGGATGATATTATAAATATTAAAGGACTTTTCTTTCTGTCTTTCTTCCTTTTACTATTTTTTAGTAAATAATCATGCATTTTTGTTTTGTTTTTGCTTTATGGCAATTCACTTTTTTCTCCCCACTTATGCTTCATTCAAACAGGCCTTGCTGTGCCCAATGCCTGAGAGGAGGAATGAGGTGAGGCATAAGACAGAACCAAGTGTATCTTCCCCACTTTGTTCTTCTAAAACTGAAAAAACTTAATAAATGAGAGGAACCCCAAACCAACGTTTTTGAGACAAACATTAAATAAAAGTGAGAAGATTGAGAAGAGTACANGAGAATAAATGAGAGGAACCCCAAACCAACGTTTTTGAGACAAACATTAAATAAAAGTGAGAAGATTGAGAAGAGTACAGCTTTCCCCTAATATTTTCTTCCACAAGCTGTTCCCAGTAGATAAGAAGTCACCAGAGTGGGCATATTGGTGGTGCCCGGTGGTGGGAAAATCTCTGTGAGAGGTGCTGTGATGGCCAACATCTGAAGAACATGCATCTTTACTGAAGTAGGCACCCCTCATCTCTAACATTAAGGGGCCACACTAGCCACCATTCCCACCGGCATCTAGTGAGGACTTCCCTTGAACTGGCACCAGTCATTTCACAGAAAGACTCTGTGACAGGACTGTTCTTGGTCTTTGTTCCATGCATTTCCACGTGGATCACCCCCAACCTGAGACACAAACCTAAAACCAAGAAAAGGTGGTGAAATCTGGGACACACCAGGTTTAGAAGAAGTAGCAAAGTGAGAGCTGCACCTCCCCACTCACATTTATATATGTATAATTTTGAGGGGAGGGTAGCAAACAGATCAGTTCAAGATTCTCCTCAAAATAACCATCTATTAATGGGTATATTGCAAACAAACGAGGTTTTAGCTTTGGAGCTGAGACAAAATGCAGAATTAATGTATTAAAACTGTGCTTCTGCCAAGCCCTCTACGCCCTGGAAATGGTCAAAATCCCCTTGACCCTCACCCACAGGACATTCTGATGGTCTTATTGTCGGGGTCACAGTTTGATTCCCAGTCAGGGCACATGCCCGGGTTGCAGGCTTGATCCCTAGTCGGGGGCATGCAGGAGGCAGCCCATCAATGACTCTCACATCATTGATATTTCTATCTCTCTCTCTCCCTTCCTCTCTCTGAAATCAATATATTTTTTTAAATTTAAAATAATAAAATAAGTAAAAAAGAACTAGAGTGATTAATTGCATTTCTTATTCTCAACTAAGCTCCTATTAGGTGTCATATTAAATAGGGCACTCTTGAGAGCATACACTCATTCACAATGCATGAGAGTCAAAGGCTTTATGGTAGGCAAATGGACTGACCTAACTTTTCTTCCCCAGTACAAGCACATCTCAGACATCCTACTTCTATGAGTGTCATGGTGTTTTCAATGCGAAAGATTAGATCACCTCCATTTTTCAGCCTCTAATATCTCCTAATCCTAAGACCTCAGGAGGAAACAAATGAGAATAAATTATCTATTCTAACATGTAAGCAATAAAATTATACTACTACTCATTTGTTGTTCTTATTTACTTCTGGGTAAATCTAATCAAAAGTACTGAGTGATTGCTTATGATAGTCAAGGCCCTGAGGTATATAGAGATTGATATATGAGTGACAAAAATGCAGAGGGTTACTTTCTATGTTTCCTAACCCTGAACAGTTGTTTCTGCCGGATTCTCTAATGACAATATTTACATTTACCTGGACTTTGCACTGTAGTAATTAGAAAGAGAATTACTAAGAGTGGAAATTAGTTTAAGGTTATTTCAATTTCCCTTTAAGATAAAATATAGTCTTTAGAAACATCCTCAAGTGTAATATTACTTTGATTTTTTAACAATAAATTTTCTTTAGTAACTACCATTTCAAGTAGACATTATTATTTTTATTTGAAGAAAGCAAAACTTGAAGTAAATTGTTTGCCAGGTGACTACCCTTTGCATCAATGTCCCAACAGACCACATGTCTGACATCAAAGGTCTTAAAATGTGCAATGAAAACTCACAGGATTTGAACTGATTTTCTGACAGAAATGAGCACTTCTGTTGCACTCCTACTAGTCACTGGCTTTCTTACTCCCAGACGTACTCATTTCCATAGTCTTTACGGCTTTTTGGAGGATCTCTAAGATTGGTCTCAGAGTTTTGACAATTTGCTCCAGCTGATCTGCAGCTGACTGCATGGTAGTCATAGCATTCTCAATTTTTAGTGCATCCTGCAACTTTTTCACAGTGTCTATTGTAGTGGTTTTGGATGGACCTGCACTTGGGCTTTTCTCAGATGTGGTAGCATCTGATTGCTCTTTGGTGTCTTTTCTACAGAAGTCACTTAATTTAAGATTTATGATGGGATGCTTCATCAAGAGTGAAAGAGAAGATTCCAAAATCCCAAAGACATTACTACTATTCAGCAAAGAGACAATGGCTGGTATATGGATATTTTTTAACTCTTCTTTAGCCGACTGATGCAGCTCCTTTACATTGGTACTCTTCTCAAGCACTGAGGACATCGCTGCTGCAACCTTGGAAAATAAGTCTTGCTGCTTTTTGTCATCCTTTGAATCCAAGACAGATTTCATCTCCTTAAAAATTTTGAGCATCTGTTCAAAGACATCCTTAATATAACCATCTTCTTTCACAGCCATCGAGATGATCTGAGTATTCATACTGCTGTTAAACAACTCGGTGAGCGTGTTCGTGAAGGAAGTGAAATCTTGCATGTGAAGAAAGAATGTTTTGGCAGCTTGAACCAGCCTCTCCGTATCCTTTTCTGACTCTGAAGACATTTCTCCAACGAAAATGTCTCAGCACTGCAAAGCAAAGCAGCAGTGAAACTAAAAGTTACCCGTTAACCACAAAAAAAGACTCAAAGTATTATCTAAAAGTGAAGATGACTCCTGTCAATGCTCAGAAAGCTACCCAATCTTTAAAGCAGAAAGGATCCTCTGCTTTAAAAAAAGTAATAGCAAAACTACTAAAACAGAGTAGAAGAGGGGTGTTTCATTGGATTTAAACCACATATCAAATATTGTGTGCTGGATCCTGAATTGGATATGCCGATATATGAAGTGACACCATTCTCAGGTATTACCCTCAATAACTCTTCAATCTAGTGGAAAAGACTGAATAAAGCATTAAAAATTATACAGAAAGGCTCAGGTTCTAGTTAAGATAGAGCAAGCACATTCCATACAACCTTTCCTACTGATTACAACTAAAAATCTTGGACAAAATATATAAAGTAACTGTCAGATAACTTTGAAAGATGGATAACAGCAGACCAAAGAGGTAGAGAATGCAGTATTTCAAAGAAGACCAAGGCCATTTGATGCAAACTCCCAAAATGTCTGACCTGTCTAAAAATGTTCCTGTACTTTCATTACAAACTTCCTACTCTGCTATGGAAAGGAGTATTAATGTTGCTAACCATAGTTTGTGATTTTTTTTTTGTATCTCCTCTACACCTTTTGTATCTCCTCAATCACCTTCTCTTTCTCTTAGGCTGTGGACTAAATAGTGCCCCACAATTCATGTGCTGAAGCCCTAACCTTCAGTATGACTATATTTAGATATAGGGCATATAAGTACATATGTAAATAAGGTTAAATGAAATCATAAGGGCAGAGTTCTGATATGATAGAATTAGTGTTCTTGTAAAAGGAAACACCAGAGACCTCACTCTCTCAGCCATGTGAGAGCACAATAAGAAGGCGGCTGCTGGAAAATCAGGAAGAGAGCCCTCACCAGAAAATGAATGGGCTGGCACCTTGATCATAGATTTCCCAGCCTCCAGAGCTGTGAGAAAATAAATTTCTCATTTAAGCCACCCAGTCTATAGTGTGTGTTATGGCAGCATCTGGCATCCTACATCTCACTCTTCATCTTTCCTTTTCCTTTACATACATACTCAGTTTCCTCCTCAGGTGAAAAAAAAAAAAGTTTGACCCTGACTTCCCTTCAAGTAATGATGCCACCTCATTCCATCCTTTCTCAAATTTCTCACAAGAGAAACTATAATTTACTATTCCCCCATTATTTTCCTATAAGGAACCAATACCTTAAAATCTCTTGGCCTTTTTCCAGGCTCTAGCCATTTTGAGTTCTCCGTGTTATTTTAAATTGCTGACTACATCTTCCTGCTTCAAAATTTTCTCTTCCTGAGGCATCCATGACGTACAACTCTGGTCTTTCTACATCTTCTCTAAGCATTTATTCTTTTCACATGCTTCTCTTCCTCCTTAAACCGCCAATAGCTCTCTGGTATCCTAAGCTCAGCAACACTGTGCCTTTGGCCCTCATTATATTCTACACTTTCTCCCTTGGAGATCTCAACTGTCCCCATAACTACAAATGCCATCTCTATATAGATGACTCCTAAATCCCCTTGTATAGCCTCAGCAGTTCTCCTGATCTCCAGGTGTACATTTTCAGCTACCTAGTGGTCATCTATATAGGTGACTGCACCAAGTATACTCCATACAGTGTATCCAAAACTGCACTTGTCTCCTCAAAAAACACTTTTTCCTGTTAACCTTTGCCTTATTGTTGAGGCTCAAAATCCATTTTTTCTTTCCTGTATCAAATCCATCCCTAAGATTTGTTATCTCTGAACTTATTACTACCTATCCCTTCCCTGACAGTCCATAACTACTACTCCAGTTACCTCTCATCTCAACAATTTTAGAAGAGTCACATTTGGTCTCAATACCTTTATTCCAGAGGTCAAAATGCAATCCATGGGCAAAATCCAACTAGCAGATGTGTTTTATAAGACCACCACAATGTATTTTCAAAATTCATATCAGTTGCCAAATTTAGAAACCAAAAGACAGAAATTTTGATTTCTATTGATTATTGAAAAAAAATGCGATTAACTGGCAACATTAAGCCCATGTTCTGATTTGGAAAAATTACCCAGAGCTGAAGTTGTCCACTTCAGACTAAACATTCACCCTCTGCACCCTTTTGTCTTATGCTAAGTGTTTCAAGTACTTACATATCTTGTCCAGCTACCGTGAGCATTGGAGTTGCTGACCCATGTTTACTGTTCATACCAACTAATTCAGTTTATATAAAGTGTCCTTCCTGAAATCTAAACCTCCTAATGTTATCCCACAGTCAAAAGCTGTAATGGTTCAGTAGTGCCTAGAAAATAAAATAAATCTCCTAGCATGGCATTTAAGACCATTAACAAACTGCTCCCAATGTTTCACTACTTGCCTTTCCTTTCCATCTTTCATATATACCTTGTGCCACCAGCAGAGTACTTTTTCCCCTGAAAATACTTCATTATTTTTTTGTGCAGCTGCTTTGTATTTCCTGTACCTGCATTATCTCCTCCATACCCCAGCTCCTACACATCTATGGAAATCCCTCTTATCCATCCATACCTAGTTCAGATACACTGACTACACCTCCTTCTTGCTTTTTCTCCCATGTCCCTACATGGTGAGGCCCTAGGATACATTGAGTACAAATTGACTCACTGGGACAAAAATAAAGTAATACCCCACTTAGCCCTTCTTTAGGACTATGATAGGCAGCACCCTTAGATTTTATAAGTCTCTTAGATAGCATCTTGTCTCTGTATCATCTAATCACCCAATAACACAGAAATTATTGTTGTTAATATAAGAAAAGCTTCCATTTAGTAAGCTTTAGTATGCCCAGTACTTTACACATGCATTATCTAAAGAATTATCTCATTTAATCATTATGACAATCCATAAATTATGTACTCATACTCACATTACACCAATGAATATATTCAGAGTAAGTGACTTTTCCAGGGTCCCATGGTTAGTAAGTGGTGCTTTGGGTACACGAAATCAGGACTTATCCTAAAGCCTGTGGTCTCTCCATGAAATTACACTTCATGGAGAGTGATTGTCCTGCTTCTGAGGTGTCCTTGTTGTAGAGCAATCAATGGGGATTAGGACAGAATCCAGGGAAGAAGCATGGAAGACTCTGTTCTAAACTTTAAGGGAAAAGAGTCAAGTTGGTCTTTAAGGTTTTCATATTGTTAAGACAATTCACCAAGATAGCAAGAAAGTTAATGATAGAGGTCAGAGGAATTAATGGTACACAAAAAAAATCACATTTAACTGGAAATATAGGATTTATGTCTCTTGGGAACCTAACAAAGCAATTAGCAACAGATGGAGGTACAAATGCAACAAAAGCTCAAGGAAACAATATCTAGACTAGTTGACAAGATGAAATCCTAAAATCTGAGAGCTGTAATCAAAGAGCCATCTTCTCTCCTCAATTAAATTAGCTCAGTTATATAGCACTTTTCAAGAATAAAAAGTCCATTAAAGAACAGAAAATTAAGTAAGTTTTACCACTTTAGTAGTCTTTCCAAGTATATTACTTAATATATACTAATTTTACATTAATATAGCAAATAGAAGAATTCTAAGAATTAAGCCATGCAGAAATAGTCCATAAACCAGACAGGCAGAGGGACCCAGCAGAGGCTAGCAAAGCCTGTAAGTCATCACATTCCATCAGAAACATCCAGATGAAACCAGATGGAAAAGCACTTCAACAATACTGCTAAACAACTGCTGGGGCTACTGAACTCAAAAACACAGCAAGGTAAGCAATATGGGTATTTTTATTAGTATCGATATAATACTGTTCCTCAATATTATAGGCAATTTGAAATAACATGTCAGTCTTAAATCTTAGCCATAAATATAATAAAGTAACAAAACAACTTTGTTTTAAGAGGATCCCATGGCAAGGTTCCTTGCGTTATTTATTTCTCTGAAGACACCAGAAAAAGATGTACAGCTTATATAACCTATCAAGTCAGAGAAGAAGAAAAACCAGTAAAGACATCAATTTTTAAAAGCATTAAGGATGAAATGACACCTGTATCATTGTGCTTGTTTACATGGATTGTTAAATTTCCTTTTATGTCTTTAATATAAGCACTCAGTATCTGTAAAAGAATGAATGTGCAATCCAATAGGTAATGCATAGTGCTTAGGCTCCTTCATAAGTTATTACATTTTAAACATCATTGGGAATTTGCTGTGTGTTTCCAAATAGAATGTTACTTTCTTGAGAGCAAAAAACATTCTTTTTTTTAATGCCTCGGGCATAGAGCAGATGTTTCTCAAGTAAGCATTTGGTAAATGCTGATGAATGACATTGATATTCTGCTTTCTGATCAGAAATATTCTTTAGAAAAATTTACATAAGAAAGTGTCATCACACCATGATCAACTTGTTTCTTTTTTTAAATTAAAGGCCATGGTTTTGTATTAAAGAAGCAGGCTCAGAAGTAGTTAGTAACTGTTAGTTAGTAACTGTTAGTTAGTAACTGTTAGTTAGTAACTGTTATTTTCTCCTGAAAAGCTTCTGACTTTACTACCTAGATCCTACTCCCACACTCCCAAAGAAATGAACCTTGCCTGACCTAATGTGAATAGTGAGGAAAAGTGACAGCAGGGAGAAATGTAAACCTCAGAGAACACTAAAGACTAAGCATCAGGGTCATCTTTTTTTTTTTTTTTTTTTTTTTTTAAGGGAAACTT